GATCTGGTGGTGGTGGATTTGGTGGTGGTGGATCTGGTGGTGGTGGATTTGGTAGTGGTGGATCTGGTGGTGATGGTGGATCTGGTGGTGATGGTAGATTTGGTGGTGATGGTGGATTTGGTGGTGGGTTTGGTGATGATGGATCTGGTGGTGGTGGATTTGGTGGTGGTGGTGGATTTGGTGGTGATGGTGGATTTGGTGGTGGTGGATTTGGTGGTGGTGGTGGATTCAGTGGTGGTGGATTTGGCAGTGATGCTGAGGTGCTAACACAGGGCATCACACACACTAGGAAATGCTTTAACCCTGAGCTATGTCCCCAACTGCCTCAACTACTTTTTTTTTTTAAGACTGTATCATAAATGAAAAGATAAGAATATTGCTGCTCTGTATTCTGCAACTGTCTGAACACATGGCTTTTATCTGCAGCTGTTGCTAAAGTCCCTTCTCTCAAGAGAAGACACAAGCAGTGTTTACCCTTCCTCCTAAAGTCACGAAGCTCACTCTGGGGAAACCAACTTTCTCACAGAATGGAGGTGAGGGCACCCACAGGGTGAGGGCTCCTCACTCGAGGCCAAGAGATTTCCCACAAATGGAGCCCTCTCTCCCAATCCTTCTTGGCATACTGTATGCTCTGGCCCCTCCCCCAGGATCCTGTGATTAGGGCAGCATTCCACACAGCAGGCGCTGGCAGTGATGGCTGCATACTCAAGGAAGATCCTGTGAGCTCCCTGCCTTCTGTGAGGAGCAGGAAGAGTCAGCAAGCCAGCTGCATTGACTCTGCCAAGTAAACACAAGCTGATCACTCCCAGCTACAGGCTGGCCTTAGAGCCGAGGTTCTCAACCTGTGGGTCCCAACCCTCAAGGGTCAACTCTGAGCTGTTTATACTGTGATTCAAGACAGCAGCAAAATTACAGTTATGAAGTAGCAACAAGGCATGTTATGGCTGGGGCCCCTCAGCATGAGGCACTGCATCAACAGGGCTGCGGTTAGAAGGTGGAGAGCCGCTGATCCACTGACCTTAGGCGGTGTTCTTATAAAGCAGCAACTCATTTTCCTGAACACATACTCAGGCTCTTGCTAAGTGACTTTATCCACAAACTCAGTAAGATCGCTGTCCCGTGTAGGCAGCTATTCTGTGAGTCCCTGTCCTCATTACGATCAAATGCCTGGAGAGTGGAAAGCATCTCGGAGGAGGAGGGGCGTGTTCTCTCTCACAGTTTGAGGCAGCACAGTCCAGCCTGGCAATGGGTGGCTCTATGGTATGGGCAGAAACAGGAAACAGCCAGCCAGGAGGAGGCAGGACCACGCACAGAGCCCTCTTCCTCGGTGGCTCCTCCTAAGGGAGCCACCTTCCAGAGTTCAAACATGAGAGCCTGCAGGGACCGTCCGAGTTCAAAGCTCACACCTGAGCCCACCTGGTCAAGGTTTCCCTCCACTGGCCCTAGAACCTGAGGCTAGAGCTCTGAGGCGCTGGAGGAGTGCAAAGGAAATGTATTCACCCCATCAATGTCCTCAACAGCACAAGCCTTTGCTCGTGTGAACAGAGAGGCAGGTGCCACCTCTCACTCCAAGTGTGATCTAAGCTGTGCAAGTCACTTTCAAGATGGTATGAGGCCAGCCACCACCAAAAAAAAAAAAAACAAAAAAAAACTCCGAGGGCACTGAACTTCAGTTTTATTTGGGGAGGGGGAGGTACATACATCGTCTTGGCGTTTCCACTGTCTTAAGTTCCTTTTCCTACTGCTATGACAAAATATCCCAACAAGAACTTAAGAGAACGGGGCTTACTTCAGCTCACAGCTCATCACTGCAGCACCCATAAGCAGCTGGCTGTCACACCCACAGTGGGAAGCAGACAGAAACGCCCGCCAGCTGCCATAGGGCTTCCGGCTCCATTCAGCCCAGGGAATGGCACCACCCACGATGGGCAGGCCTTCCCCCCTCAGCCTACCTGATGAATCCCAGACCGACCACTGAGATTAACTACCTCACACCACACAATCCCTTTCCATGGAAAATCACATAGAAACAGTTTCCTATGGCAAACGAGAGCCATGCTCTGTCTGTTTTGATCAGCAATCCTCCGGGACAGCCCAGCTCAGGGGAAACTGAGAGTAAGTAGAACTGTGAGCAGTGCGGGCAAGCATCCTTAATAAACCAGGCCGGTGGGCGGAGCCCGGGAATCTACTCTGCACCTCCCAGAACACACCCGGCTCTGTTCTCCTTCTGCCCAACCATAATCTGACTGCTGTGGCTGCAGGCACCCCACCTCACCTCTGAGGCTCTTCTTAAACATTCCCAAGAACCCCTACCAACGAACTTCCCAGATGCTGGGGACTTCTGGGAAGTTTTCTCAGTCACAACAGGGCTGCAGGGAGCCTGAGCCACTCTTGATCCAAACCCCAGAGTGACAGTGTGAGCTCAGGAGCCACAAGCTTCAACAGCCGATTAGGCTGCGGCCTAGGTCACCCAGGTCATAAGCCCAAGCACAAAAAGCAATGCCAGGGATAGCAGAAGGACCGAAAGGACTTCCTGTCTTCAATGGGAGCCCTCCCCCTTCCTCCTGCGCCACCTGCTGCCTCCTGCCTCCGAGTGCTGGGTTAAAGACCTCCTGGCTGGCGGTCTGCCCCTTGAGCAGGGATTGACAATGAAGGTACACGAGATCCTGCTAAGTCATGCAAGTCACCAACCTCACTCACCTTTGCTGGCACCTGCTTGTTGCACAAATTCTCAGTCCACTTAATGTCTGTCGTGTGAAATGGACAGGACACTCAGAACTTAGGAGAATGTTCTTCCTTGTCATGTGACTTAGCTGCCCTAGAGTCGCTTGCTGGGAAATGGAGGCAGCCACCAGCCGCAGACACCAACCACACCTCGCTGCTGCTACTCTAGCAGAGGGCCCGCATCCCGGCCCCAGCACCCAGGCTGCCATGCTCACAACTGCCTGGAGTCCGTTCCCGGAGCAGCTAGTGCCTCTGGCCTCGATGGCACCTGCATTCATGTGCGTACACACGCCTACAAAGAATGTTTCTTCTTGGTTTTTGTTTTGGTTTTGAGACAGGGTCTGTGTAGCCTCGGCTGTCCTGGAACTTGTTGCGTAGACCAGGCTGATCTTGAACTCACAGAGATCTGCCTGCCTCTGCCTCCAGAGCATTGGGATTAAAGGTGTGGGCCATCACACAAATAGAATGTTAAAACTTGTGTTTGCCCAGGGTTCCAGGTTTTCTTGTTCTTTTTTTTTTTTTTTAAGAGCAGCCAGTGCTCTTTTTTATAATTTACTTATTTTTACTTTACGTACATTGGTGTTTCGACTGCATATATCTGTATGAGGGTGTTAGATACCCTGGAACAGAAGTTATGGACAGTTGTGAGCTGTCATGTGGGTTCTGGGAATTGAACCTGGGTCCTCTAGAAGAGCAGCCAGTGCTCTCAACTATTGAGCCATCTCTCCAGCCTCTTTCTTGTTCTTAACTGATTTCAAAACTACTTTCTCACAATCTTCCATCTGTGAAACAACACAACCCAATTTGAATTTTTAAAATCTGTTTACTTGATTGTAATATTAGCCCCCATTTATCTATATTTTCAAAATAAGCAGGTTTTCTTCCCCTCTCCACTATTTCCAAGTGGAATTTATTTAGAAAGAACGAAACTACCCCATGAAATACGACAGCCAGGGCACAACCACAGTAGCCTACCCCTTCCTTGCACACAAGAACTATTATTTTCCTGAATACATTTCCTGACCATCAGCACATACAATAATCAGAGTGTATAAATTGTTTTCCTAGGAACGCCTGCTCTTCAAAAGACCAACAAAAAATGAAGAGGGGCTGGTAAGATGGCAGGCAAAGGCTCTTGCAACAAGCTTACCAGTTCACATAGTAGACGGGAGAACTGACTCCTGACACACACATACACACACACACACACACACACACACACACACACACACACATTCCTTATTGTATTAAAAACACAATAAGGAATTTAAAAGTGATGATAAAATACATGAACAGATGAAGATATTCGAAGGACACAGGAGTAGCAAAGGATGTGTACTCAGAGTGTATAGAATCACAGCTGAAGCAAGGTGGCCCTGGGTCCATCAGTTCACAAGCACACAGGACAGTTCAACACACGCTACATGCCCAGCAGAAACCATGAGAACACTTCCTCACGAAGGCCTGGCTACAAACTCAGAAAAGCAAGGCGGTGGCCAAAGATAGATCCTGATAGCGCATTTTGGTGTGAGAACCCAGAGACTGTGAGAACCACTGAGGCACTGACGGAGCCAGCAGGGAACAGGACAGCCAAGAGAGTGGAGGAGGAGGGAAAGACAGAAAGACAGAAAGACAGAAAAGACACCTGGCCCATGTCAGAGAAACCGCAGAGGCAGACAGAAAGCCACTCACAACAAGGAACCAGGAAAACACGGAGAATTCCAAAGCTCAGAATCCACATCCATCCTTCTGAAACAAAGATATTCAAGGCACTCCAAAAGGGGGGTTGGCAGGGACAGACACACTAATGGAACTCTAGGAGGCTGTGCTCCCTGGAAGGAAAACAATCCCAGAAGCCTCTGTGCACAAGCAGGAGCCCCAAGCACAGCTGCCTTACCCAGGCCAGACCTGGAGTGAACCGCAGAAATCCACGCCAGCTCTGGAAGCACCTGAATGAAAGTGTGGGCTAACGGATGGCAAAACAGTCCCACAGGTATTTGGTAACAGGGTCACAGGTAGGCTTGATTTTTCCATTTTCACTGCATTGTTCTATGTACATGTGAAAATGAAGTCTCTCTCATGTCAGCCAGATTTAAGGACTAGACTGCTCAGTTACAAAGAAATGAGTATGAAGTCAACATCAAATTCTCATAAAACCTCATATCCCCAGAATGGCAACCTACCACTGCTAAGGTCAAGTTTCCCATTTAAAAGTCAAAAACCAAAACCCAGGTAACTAACTTAAAAGTGCGTAAAAGCTGGACACGTTTACTCACTCAACAAATATTTGTCAAGGGTTTGCGTGCCCAGGCACTGTCCCAGATCCGGAAGTACAGGTGTGAGGGGAGCGCTGATAGTCTTCCTTGAAGTTGAAAATAAACCACCCTCGTGCAGTGTTCCTCCAAAAGTCTGCAGGCCAAGCAAAGTGACCTCCGCCACACTCAACGTAGCAATATATGACAGTTCACCGAAGGCACCTGGCTGGACCTGTGGCACGTTTGGACCTGTTTGGATGTATGCCCAAGTGACAGCTTAGTTTAGTAACATTAATTCTGTGTAAACGGAGAATCCCACATTAATTCCAGACCTGAGTCTGTAGTTTCTGTACCCCAGGAAAATCCCAACTCCAGTGAAAGCTCCTGCTCATGCCCTGGTCAGGCAAGTGGCATGGCTGCTCCTTTCACTTCCCAGCGGCTCACAAAGAGTATCCACTGCTAAACCAGGAAGAGGACACCCACTAAAAGTCCATTTCCCGCCACTGACATGAGCACTTTTCTGACTTTAACGAAAAAGTGGCAATTGGCAGGGCAGATGAAGAAGCTAGCATTTCCAGGGATCTTAATGGAAACCCTTTGGCTCCCACCTCGGCCACACGGAAGTGGTTAATGAGGGTCATGGCCAAAGCTGTGTCACTGAAGGCCGGAGGACTACAACCACGTCATGCTAAATGTCAGCCATTAAAGGGCAAGAAAAAGCAGTTCAACCACTTCCATGGAGAGCTCTCTCCTTTCTGTGTGTGTGGTGTGTGAGTGTGTGAGGGGTGTATATGGTGCGTGTGTGTGTGTGTGTGTGTGTGTGTGTGTGTGTGTGATGTATATATGGTGTGTGTGAGTGTGTGATGTATATATGGTGTGTGTGTGTGTGTGATGTATATATGG